GAAGTAACATCGTTCATTTCACTCCTTTTATCCAACAAGCATACTATTAGAGTGTGATACATGCGATTCCGAAGCTACACCGATCGATGCTTCATTGAAATAAACTTCACCTTGCTCATTGCTTGAAGTATATATGCGTTACCATTATTTTTCATATCATTTAGCATATTCATTTTTTGTTACTGTGAAATGACAAGTCTGTTACCAAATGACAGATGTAAAACTGAGTCTCATCAAATACGACTAAAACATCATATTTTTGCGATAAACAAAGATCAACAATCCAGTCCCAGTGGCAATTCCGATGAAGAACTTCCGCTCGACGTTTCCATTCAACAAATCTTCAATGTCAAATGTTATCTTCAAATGTTATCGCTTAGAGTGAACAATAACAAGTTTATAAGAATGACTGAACGGAAAGCCATTCAAACCAAAACCGTTCATTCATACATTGAGATGGATGCTGAATCGGTTAGAGACGTCGCACTTTATGCAAATGAACTATCTGCTGGTGACTGTCGTAAGAGAAACGCAAAATGGTGGAGGTCATTTTCTAGAAATCGAACTGTTTACTTCTCGTATGAACGCAGATTCAGTGGGTGTGGTGTGTATGGAGTGAATGGTAAATCAGTTTAGAAAATCTTTTAAGATTAACATCATTTGATGGCACGACATTTGAACAGATTAGTTGTAATTGCATTTTGAAGTAGTCATTCAACGACGAACACTTATGTATTGCTAATGGAAATGCGTGAATTTGATTTTAAGTTTTTTTGCTGCTCATTCAATGCCAATCAAGTTCGAACATCGAATTATCCATCAGTAAGTGTCACTTGTGTAAGCGATTTCCGTTCTGCTCACATTTTCTTAGCTGAAAACATCCAAGCACTACGGTTCTCTTCACTAGTGAAGTAATCGTTCAGTTCGAGCAGCACTTTTGACTATCTATCGTCTGATATCTTAGAAAAGAATAAATATCGTTGAGTATATTCCATAAATGACAGACAATTTTTTGCCAAATTTCTCTGCCTTTCTTCGCTCATAAAAGCAGAAGAATGCCATCAACACGCAAGCCAGTGCGAAGGATATCAGTGTGCACTAATAATCTTTCGTTTTGGAACGAAAGTCCCTATGGAAATATTGCTGATGTTTTACTAAACAAATTCTCGAGTGAAATTCCATGCAATTGATTTATTGTGATGTGTGAATGAATTGAGTTATCGCTGATTGTTTGTTTCCATTTCATTCGTGTCATTCATTAATCGACTGCGATGCCAGTCTATCCGCACATATTGCGAAGGATCTGTTGAGTTCTTCGTACTGCTACGACAAAGAAACAGATTTGTGTTCACGCACGCCAACTGTTTTCTAAATGCACTTCATTACAATAATAGCGATAAATTGACTAATCGAACTGTCGTTATTGACAACGACGAAGCAGTCAGGTTTTGTTTTATTCATCTTTCGCTTCCTGTACTTCCCTCTTTGGAGAGAGCAGCATGCTATGACCAGAGCAATTTGAATCCGCTCACTATTATTGGTGGATTTATCAGTGAGCTTTTTTGTGCCTTTCTCATCTTCTTGAGAAATTTACGAGGAATGAAGCATATTTGTGCTATCGCTTTGGTACAGGACGTTTTGACATGAAGATGCTTTTACCGAAGCTATGCTTTTGTAAGTCATCCCGGTCATATTGCTCTGAACAACAAGTAAATTGCTAATCAAATATGCATTCAATTCTGGAACTGACTGAGAACACTTTGAAAAGTGATTGAAAAAGGACAAGTAGCATTTAAAGAAATAGGTGAACGCTGNACAATTGATCAAAATGAGCAAAATAAATGCTGAACGTCTTGCATGTTGTGTCACTAAACAAGACACTACTACAAAATAAAATCTTTCATGATGAAAGATTAAGAATGTGGAAAATGAGAAGAAAAACGATTGAATTACAGAACGTTCATCCGCTTTTATCAAAACTGACATAAACAAGCTCGGAAATACGGTTTGTATTGGTTGATTTTCATAGTAGCCACTCCTCCCCAACATCAGTCTTCAATAATAATTCCTAGGCAGCTATCTTAAGCAACGTGATATTTCAATTTATAACTTTGTCGAAACGTTCAGCAACTAAACAACTTTGAAACCGACAGCTTGACTCAATAACGTCCCATATTCATACGAGTCTTGTCTTCATAGATTTTCCGTGGATTTTTTTCACGATTTTTTGTGGCATCCTTTTCACTCAACCTCATTTCGCACACTCCTGCTCAAAGGTGCATTACCTGGACGGACTCAAAGAAGCATGATACTGAACGATGAATAACCTATGCATCAAGTTAACACTTAGTAGAATTATTAGTTGTAAGAAATTTCTAGGGTGGTATTTTCATTCGTTCAAATCATGGATCAGGATATCATGTCGAACTGTCGTTTTGTGTTGCTTGTTGAATTGCATCCACTGACCCTTGCAATTAGAACAAGGCAGAATGAAATGACACGAAGCTTGCGTCATTTATGTTGATACGGCGTAACTTTTGCTTTCTGGAAATAAACTGTTGGTGTTATGAGAGCGAGTAGTTCAAGTTTGTTTTTAAGCGTTCTTTTAATGTCATTTCAATCTGTCTGGTTCCGTTTCGTTGATGCTTCTGAACGCATCGCATTAACTGTGAAGGTTGTGCGATGTCTGGTGTCAGCATTCATCTGCTCACATAGTTGTAGTCCGATTTTTAAGGTTTGAAGCGTCTACATTTTTGGAAGTACATTTGTTTTGAATGTTGGATGCCTTGTTTGACTTGCAGGTCGTCAACGGAACTGTGATTTTGGTTTTGAGAATGACGATTGGTAAATGGGAGGCAGTTACGAGTGATATGGAAGAAATTTGTAGGTCCAAAGCTCATAATTTGTGCAAGAAAGCAGGCGAATGGGCCAAGCTGACAGCAGTACAAATGTACTCTGAGAAAGTGTACTTCACACACATACAATTGAGTAAAGGGAATTTTTTGAACGTATCAGCTGTCGAATCGTTGATCATATCGACTATTGTACTTTTTACAATTTCGTATTGTTGTTCCATTGTCAACCTCTCATGAGTCCCTATAAATGCACTTTCCAATTAGTGAAAGATCTAACAAAAACAGGTTTTCATAAAAATGGATAGTTCCGTGTGAATAGCAACTAATTACTCATTAGGTTTTCTATTGGGCAAAGCTTTTGTGCTTATATAATTTCAGTTTTAGTTCGATGAAGCAACTGGAAATCGTTACGGATGTAACGGCTTATCATCAACCATGAACCTGATCGAGAATTTGCTCTGAACATTCATTCAAGAATTGATTTAAAAAATAGAAAATTCCTGCGAAATTCTTTCCAAAAACAAATGATGCGTTAAGTTAACAACACTGAAAAAGAAGCTTCGTTATTCTTTATTTCAATCAAAGAAATCAACGTGGAGAACGCTCTATGAATGAATACAATGGCTGTTTGAAGCAGCAAAAGCAATTTACGAATGCGAAACTGAGCTGAAGAGGTGACACTTCATCTCAGTTTCAACGGAGAACTGCGTTATTCGTTAATTCCATCCATTGTCAATTATTAGGTTCGAATCAAACTCTCATAGACGGTGTCAGATTTTAACGTTCGAAGATAAATTTGGCTGAACGTTCCAAGCAATCTATATTCCCACCAATGAGGAGAAGCACGAATCAAAAAGTCGAATAAACACTGATTGAATCGCTTGACTATTTGCTGAATTCTTTTAACGCAACCCCACCCACCCACCTAACGTTTATTCATTCTGCTTTCTCGTTTAACATCATTTGGCTTGTCCTTCTCAGCTCGTTCATCGAACATCCATTTCTTGCTTCAATAATCATCCTCCTATATAACGTTATTTTCTCAATCATTCACGTTAAGACCCAACCAAGTTCGGGGCGAATGGCATAGATTTATTGATGACCTAAAATATTCTGTTCAGAAATCGATCACCGTTGTTTCACGAATGTAATCATGCGTGAAAACAGTTTTCACCTTATTCATGTCCCATTGTTAACTCTTAACGTAAAAATACCATCGAAGCAGATCGTTTACAGAAATGTAAAAATTATGTCACTGAAGGAGATTTTGCATTAGGATTGAAAAGTCAGCTGTTTTCAACAGATCACTGGTCGAAAAACTTCTCTTGATCCCCTTAAACCATTCGAAGAACTGTTCGGAGGGTTGAGTTACAGGAGTGATTCCTCTCCCTCCCAAACAGTACTATATGCGAAGATGGAAGAATTCCGTTTTTGACTGAGATCGTTTTCAGAATGGGGAATATTTATGTCACAGGTGATTCTCGGTATGAACGTGGACGTAACGAGAACATTAATTTCGGTCATCATTCTGGCCTTCAGCTATGCAAACTTTCACATAATTTGAGGAGATATGATCTGAAGGCGGAAACGTATGTACTGCGCGAAAAGTATGAACAATCAAACCAGCAGTTACGCTTGTAGATCCCTAAGGAGACACTTAACGGATTGGTTGCCCTATTGGGAAATAACTCTTAGTTTTGCTTCACTACGAATAACCAATATCGTTTTACCATCGAACCTAATTTATTGTTCAGAATCCCAATTGTCTCTGTTATTGACAGCAGAGATCGTTCTTGTTATTGCATATTATTATGATTATTATTATTAACATTATTATTGTTATAACTATCACTATTATCATTGCGGTCATTATTGTTTGTGTTATTATTACGACAGCCAAAAATCAGGGCAATCTTCATCATTGATTCCCGCTCTCATATTTTGCTCATTTCTGGATATTTGACGATGCAATGCCGCGAAATTCACATACGACGTTTAATGAACTTTCAAATTTTCGTGTGTTCATCAAATTGTTTGTCGCAGATCCATTCCAGTGTCAGCAAGTTTCAATTCCAGTTCAAGAAATTATTTCAGATAGCAGAGTTGTTAACTGAAAGAAACAGGATGTTAGCGATTCCAAATCACATGGCACGAAGACCGTCTCGACAGCAAGCATCACCTAGAACACGATCACGGAATTATACTCTTGCGAATGCTCCCTCACCAGTGATTAAAATTCGAACACACGATATGCTGAATCCTCAAGAAAGACGTTTTTTGGAGGCTGCTGAAATGGGCGATCGACCCACACTAGCATCGTGTCTTGAACAGGTTTGTAAAATTTTCTTTCCAATGTCTGGTTTGAACCATTGTGTGTTGATCAAGCATCAAAAGCAAACACTGAAGTGTATATTATCGTTCTGCATTAAATGAAAATTGAACGGTTGATGTAGTGCGAAATGAAAGTGACCATCTGTTTATCCCGCATCATTAATGCATTATATGACTTTGAGTGGGTTATCTCGACTGAAGTAGCGAGCATACATCAGCAATTAATCAACAAAATGCATAACTACGTGTTCAGTTGCTCACATGAAACATTATCTTCGACTTTGGGTTGTTATAGCGTTAACGAATTTGCTCGCCCCAAAATAGCGGTCAAATTACATCTCTAATAGAGCATTTCGCAACGGTCGGATTGACCACATTCTTGGAATTAGCTTTGTTCAATAAACAAGAGAATTACTGTTCATTGTTCCGCTCGAAAAATTATAGAAAATCTTTCGCTTCTGATTAAGTCAGATTAGTGATGCGACCAAACTGGATTAGTCGCATGGGAAGAGTTCATTAGTGCTATGCGAGTGCAAATCATTTGAGCAGTGATGTCGTGATAAACAATCAGCAACATATACTTTCGAAACACTTGCAAAAGTCAAAAATCATGCTATCGTTACAAATCTCTAAACAATTCATGCAGTTAATAACAATCCATGGAGTTAAATGGTGTAATCAATAAAAATTGAAGACGGTCATTCAGTGATGTATGTGAAGATTTCAATCTCTAAACGTATCAAAATACTTGTTAACAGAAGAACATTCTACCGCTGAACGTGAATGCCGTAGATTGCATGGGACGAACGGCCATCGAGATCGCTGTTGACAATGAGAATAATGAAATTGTCGAGCTTTTATTGCAACAGCCGAATATTCGCATCGGTAATGCCCTACTCTGTGCCATTCGAGAAGGTTTCTTCCCTTGCAAATCTATTTCTTCGTATCCATTCAGTTTTCAATATGTCTTGTCAGCTAGCATCTGTGCTTTGGTGATTATCCCTCCATTGTGACCGTATATTTCCTTAACGAATTCCGAATTATCTTGAAAAACGTTTGTTATTATGTACCGCTCCGTTAAAGAAATTCGGAAAACTAAATTCAAGAAAGCGAAAGTTGAGCAATTCTCACAAAGTTAAAAATTTACCATTCAGCGACGAACTACGAAATTAATCGTAGTTTCTTCTCATCTGAGGTTGCGACACGGCAAACTACAGAGCTTCAACGAGATACCTCTCTTAAGGCCCTCATTATTTTGTCAAAAAAACGTTTTCAGAACAAGTTTTTGAGATAAGTAATGACTTAAAGTTACTCAATGCGATGATTAAATAAGCAGCGCTAAATATACATCGTGATTTCCTCATTTAATCACTATTTCGTAAATTTTGTGTGAAAGTTGGTCCTGTTCTGGCGATAATGAAACACTCTCATTTGATCATCATAAACTCCCTTCATCTGATATGAAATGATATGATGAACTCGTAGATTGTAAAACTTTAGGTGTCTATAGAACTGTAGAAATGCTCATCAATCATCCCAGTATAACGAAAGACATGCTCGGAGAAGGCTGGGCACAGTATATTGAGACCACAGAAGCAGCATCAAACGAGTATTCTAGGTTTGTTTCTTGTGAATTGAGCACTATCATTCAATAATATGGAATTTAGAATTTCCAGTTCTCTTTGCACATTTCCAGCGCATTTTCATGCTCTTAGTTGGTTTATTATTACTTAACATGCACGTTAGGGCGATAAATTGTTGGGTGCAACAAAACATTTTCCAACTATTGCATTTCCCAACAAAAAAGCATTTTCCCAGCATTCTGCAAAGTGCACTTCCCAACTTAGAGAAAGAATGCCTTTGATCTGAAAACAATTTGTGTGAAATTTTCCTCAAAGCGTTGCTTTGAAAGGACGTAGGTCAAGATATATTTCAACATAGGCACAGTAATGCATTAATGTAGAAGTCAGGGAAAATTTCTTGATCACACCCTCCCTAATCGTACATTGTCAATTGAAAATAATCTCTGGTAAAGTTATTGGGTTAAACGGTCGCACTATCCATATTGTGCCTTGGGCGTTTCAAGCAAAACAACATTCTAGTCAACCAACCCTTTTTTGGGAAGGATTTTTTTGGGAATGAAATTTCGCAGATTCTTTCCACAGTGGGGGGCATTTTGCGGATGGATGGGACTCTGCAAATTCCGAAACCCGGAAGTCGCACCTCAAATGAAAAACAAGCTGACTGAACTTAATATTTTGAGGCGAAATCCTAATTGGGCCATTTTCAGACGAAATATCATAGTTGTTTGGGCACATTTCGCGATACTCGGAAAAATTTTTTACTATAAGTCAATATTTCTCAAATATCCTCAGTTGTCAATCAGTTTCAAAATATGTTAAAAACTGCATCCGTTTTTCGCTACTCCTTCATTTGATTTAAAGCATAAGTTCACCGCATTATTGTGATAATTCTGTTTCATTCACTCCTCTTTTGATTTCTGATCACTGTTGAAAGCTTACTTCAAGAACGCATTACGTTCAATAGCATGAATATTGTTGCTGATAGAATATGAACCAAATATAGTCTGTTTTTCGTTCGGAAGTTCTTGACTCATCTCGCTTCGTGATAAAAATCAGTCTCAAATTATGTTTTATCAAGCGGTGAAGATTTTAGCGACATATCACCGGTGATTTTGGCTGCTCATTTGAATCAGTTCGAAATTCTTCAAATGCTGCTGAGTAAAGATGCAACAATTGAAAAACCTCATAAACATTGGTGTATATGTGCGGTTTGTGATCGTGAACGTAACAGTGATTCGCTGCATCATTCCCTCAAACGTATCAACACCTACATGGCACTCGCTAGTCCTGCTTGGATGAGTTTAACAAGGTAAATAACGATAATGTGTTTAGAAATCACTTGAATGTTTCATCAAGTAAGCAAAGCTATAAAAGAATAAGAGAACAATTGAAGCATTCCTGAGCGTCAACAGTTGTTTTACTCTTGGCTCGAATTTCCTGTTAAGTCCTCATCAGCAATCATTTTATTGCTTCACTACTCTCTGCGTTACGCCATTCCTCTAATTTTTGAAGCTTATCGAATTTCTCCTCAGTTCTCTCAGCCATAATATTCTGTGCAAGGGGCCTTCTCATAAACCGTTATTTGATGGAATATGTTGACGACAACAAAGTATTCCTGATATTGATTTATTCATGCGTGACGATTCGAGCAGAACAGCAGTTAGAGCTTATTCAAAATCTGACTTGTCATGAGGCATTTTTGGCTTTTACGATGAAACTAAATCGTAGAATCAAATTTGTGTTTCGTTTCCAACCAAATCACGGTGCTAATAGATGGGTGCTGCAATCAACATGTTGTCGTCTATAATTTCATTCGCTTGCCTTACATTCAGAACTATTGACGCTCGTTGTTTTTATACATTATCCAACGGGAACGCATTTCTTTCACTCCCTTCAATGTTTTNAGAAGGTTTCGTTTTCAGTCCCGATCCAATTTTGAGCGCCTTCAAATTGAGCTGGGAGCTGCAGAAACTTGCAACGATCGAGCATGAGTTTATGGATCGTTATGTACAGGTACGTACTGCTGATATAACATAACTCCACTCTACTCACAATTCGTTTAATAAAAGAATCTTCATCCAATTTGCCATTCAACTAACATCTGATAGATATCTCAAGCACATTTTCATTGACGCAAAGGAGATTCTGAACGCAGAACACGGAGTTTGTGGTTACCGTTTGTGAGAGTCTTAGGGCTATTTACATCCTAGATCGATGATTACTTGGTACTCACCAGTTAAAAGAAATCGATTCAGCTTTCTGAGCAATGTACGCAATTTGCGTGCGATTTATTGGAGCAGTGTCGTAGCACAGAAGAAGTGATTGCCGTTTTGAATAAAGAGCAATCATCAAGTGATGAAAACGTCAACGTTTGGGCTTCGAAACTGAGTCTATCAAGACTGAAACTCGCCATCAAATATGATCAAAAAAGGGTTGGTATGAATTTATTGCTTTTGATCTAATTGTACGAAAACACTCTTTCTTTCGCTTTCGGGATTCCGGCTATGCCCAAACCGTGTGCTATTTGGCATAAGGAAATCACGAAGAAGGATTCAGGATAACCTAATGATCATTCTGAATCACGTTTTCTCTGAGAAANCAGGAATAAACCTTTTTCCACTTCGACGTCCTGTTCAATGTGATTCTGAATAAAGTGCTGTGGAATTTCTCGATGAGATTTTCAGTTTGTTTCACATCCTCACTGTCAACAACTGCTGACTTCAATATGGTATGAAGGCTTTCCAGGAAGAAAACAACGAGGGTCATGGTGGAATCACGTTATCTGTGTCTTCCTGATACTTCTTTGGCCTGTTCTGCCTCTCTGTTATATATTGGTTTGTCGTTTTCGTGGTCTTTTTTGCGTTCGCAACATATTGGAGACATCCAGCTGAGGAGTCTGTCCACTGTGAAACACTCGGATGAGTTCTCCGCATTAGTTTCGAATGAATAATTAGTGCTCATTTTTTTTAACGAGATATGTAATCATCTAATTTCGGAATTACTACCTCTTGACACTCTTTGAAAATAGCTCCATTTCATTCGACATCATTTGATTTGATTGCTTTTCTTATATTCGTCCAGCTAGTCACAGAATTTTGTCCTTATTACATCCTGATTGGTTCAAGAAAATCTAACATTCATATTAAGGTGCCAAAAAGTCGCATTGGTCGA